AGTCTGGCGATTCTAAAAATATATACTTTCCTGGGTCTATTTGTAGTCATTTGGTCACAATTAGAAGATAAACACAAGTATGCAAATAATAGTCCTGCTACCTTAACATTGAACTCTATGGCAAAGAAACACACTTCCTGTTAATGAATGCCATTTCTAATTGATGATTATGTTATTGGTCAGTTAAGGGGATTATCTTTCAGCCAATCATTGTCTTAGTACAGGATTAGAAAAGTATATCTTTTGGATTACTGACTATGCCTTAAATAAGCCCCTTTTAGCACCTTGTGTTAGACTGGACCCAAGCAAGTGTCAGTATACTATGCTTATATTGCTGTTCCTGTAACTTTGTTCTTAGCTAGTTGTAAACTCTGTGTAGTACTGTTCCAGTAAATAAAGATATCCTGCTGTGAGTATCTCAAATGGTTAATTTGTATTCAGTTCCTTATTACTTCATGGTTGTGATATATGATCTCACAAATCAGTGTTGACTACAATGATCCCCCAACAAAAATATTACTGAAGTAAAACTTCCCTGACACTGAAATTTTGCAATACCCTATTGTCAATTATGGTTGAGTGTACAGCAATATGTCACAGGCAACATTGGCTACTATCAACTCTGGTATGCATGTAATGTTTACTTCATATTTGCATGATGTAATTTGTATACAATGCTGATGTACTGTAACCTAGACTCATTGCAACAACATAAGGTCAAAGGTCATCTGCCCGTTATAGGTTATCTTTTTTTATGTTAGTAACTTTATTTATTTATTTATTTATTTATTTATTTATTGACGTGTACTGTGAGTCAATAAAACATCCATATACAACACTTGATGTTTTTTCTGAGATTACATTATAAATAAGTCTATTGTTGATATACTGCAAATTATTTTAACTATTAATATCTGGAAGAATATAGTAACAATAAATATAGAGATTTCTTTATTGGTAACTCTAGTTACAGAACTTTTAACTATCCTTATATTATACTTTTGAATTTTTTTTCATATTTAAACTTTTGTTACAACAATGTCAACTGATCACCTTTCACAACATAAATCTGTATAACTAGTTCCAAGTGCACAACATAAATAATGTGGATTAAACATTATCACCATGACAACACACTCAGACTTTAAGATGCTTTTACTGACATTGGAATTAACAAAGCAACAATGTTTTATTTCAGTTGATGAGACAACCAGATTTTAAGCACATGTATGAGATGATAGATAAATACAGCAGAGATGCTGCATTGGCAGCATTGGTTGGAAAAGACGGCAGACAAATGGATCAACAAGCCCAGGATGGTCATTTCTTTAGAATACTTGCTAGAATGATGACTGAAGTCTGCATGTAAGTCTGCATTTTATTTATTCATTACTCAATAACAAATAACTGATCTGTAAGCTAAGCCTTAGCTCTCAGGAGAAAAGATTCATTATCATTAAACAATCTACAATTCTTCTTATGTCCACTGATGACAAGAAGTGCACACGACTGTTGTAATCATTGCTATTCAATAGAACATCAGTTCTCACATGCCTTCTCTCATATATATTTAATTGGTAGATTTGGAAACAAAAATCAACACAAAAATAATTTTGAAAAAATCCAACAAAGAAATCAGTAAAAATAAATTGTTATTAAAAAAATGCACACATTTTATAAAGGAAAGCAACAAAATTACAGTAACATTGTCCTGAAAAATATGTGATTTTGGAAGACTGTCAAAAACGAAATAAAAAAAATCGTAATTCACGGCATAGATGAAGATCAAAACGAATCGTGGGATCAATCAGAGGATAAAGTGAAGAAATTGTTAGCAGAAAAATTGAATATCACAGGTGTTGATTTTGAAAGAGTTCAAAGGGTTGAAACCGGAGTCCGGGGTAGGAGACCACTTATTGCAATGTGTGCTCGATTCAAAGATGAGAAGAACATTCTATCAAAGAAAAAAGAACTGCAATGGTACCAACATTTTTATTGATGAGCATTTCTCACAAGAAACCAGGTATATCAGAAATAAACTATTTGCAAAGAGAAAAGAACTAATTGCAAACAATATACATTATGTACGTGCCTTTGTTAACTACAAAAAGCTTGTCAGCTATGAAGGTGGGAAAAGGTGTGTATATACTTATAGCAATGCCAGTGACTCAGTGTTGTTAAACAGGGTACTAGTATTTCAAGATAGGGGTCTGGCACGGGCAAAATTAATGAAGGTATGGGTAAAGTAATTAGTTACATGTCTTGGAATGTACATGGATTATTGAGCCTTTTACATGATGCAAGTTTTATCCAGTATTGTATGTAATTCAATATATTTTGTTTGGTTGAAACTTGGCTTACACATGGGAATGTTGATGTTCACGAGTATTTCCCTGATTTTAAATTAATCTCATGCATCAGGGAGAAAAATCGGCTCTCAAGGGGCAGGCCTAGTGGGGGTGTTACTGTTGGTATTTCTAAAGATATGATCACTGGTATCAAGGTGTTAGATACAGGGATGAAAGATGCTATATTTCTATTATTAAAGTCACACTATTTCGGATGGG